ATTTATTTATTTATTTATTTATTTATTTATTTATTTATTTATTTATATATATATATATATATATATATATATAAATTGATTTTATTTTTAGTCGATTTAAAACTTGAAACAAATGTATATCTTTTCATATTTTTCAATAAATATATTATAAATATAATAATGAATGAAAACTAAAAGTAATTTATAATATTAATTTAATATTTATTTTTAAGCTGTAAAATATAAATTAAATCTATGCATAAATTAATTTTAAATTAGCAAACGTTAATTTTATTTTATTTATTTTATGCATAAATTCTTTCGTTAGTTACTTCTCAAAAACAAAAAAAAAGTAACTTGTTCCTTCTTCTTCCTCACGAGAATTGTTGTTTCCTTCTTCTTCTTCCTTTGCGCATCCATTTTTTTCTCTCAAGCGAAGTCGAAACTCATGGTGTGGCCTCCATTTCTCTCGTGCGAAGGTTGTGATGTGGTCTCCATTCTTGTCGCTCGAAGGTTGCTCTATCTCTATCTCGTGAACTGAGTTGTTCGTTGCCACCACCGGTTGTTCGTCGCTGTCTCAGGTCGTTCGTCGTCGCCAAGTACCGTTCATCGTCGCCTTTGGGCGTTTGCAAAGCCACAATTTGTTTCTTCTTATTGTCAACATTTTACTAGCATTTGATTTCATTACATTGTATTATGTTAATGTGATGATTTTTATTTTATCTGCTATTATTAATCATTAATCAAAGCATAGCCTTAGCCAAAGAAATACACACTCATTATGACAGACTTTGCTCCACACTCATTGTGTCCATATAATACCTAGGACATCTTGATCTTTATCATGATTTTGGTAATATAAAAAAATGAATTTGAGTAAAAAATATTTTTTAATTTTTACTAAAACAAATATGAAATTACCTAGTTATAAATGATATGAAAGTTGGATTTTTTTTAAAATATCTTTTCGTGCAAAGAAATTAAGCTAATACAAATCTATATCAGAGCAAGTCTGGTTTTGATGGGAGAGAGAACAATAGAAAGAGAAAAGATCAAAAAATGGGGAACAAGCTCATCAACCATATGAGATTGTTCAAATCCATACCAATATCTTCACTGCTCGCAACATCATCACCGTCAAGGTAGACATTCCCACCCTCTTTGAAGATCTCATTTTCATTTTTCCTCACTAACATTGCTATTATTTACATCCCATTTTCCATTTCCTATCATACCAAACTCTACTTGCTTATCGCATTTCTCGTGAATTTAACTATAGTCCAAAATACCTTTTGTTTTATCACCAAATAATATAAAGTTTGTCCTTTTTCTCATCATTCCAACTTCTATGTGTCTACTCCAATCACCCACCATTTCACTTTCCTAAGAAGATCTATTATTTAAAATAGAGTACACACATCCTTCATGTATAAAAAAAATTAGTTCATCGTACCTATATGTTATTGGAATAATGTTGTTATAGTTGGAAAAACGTTCTTGCAACCATCATGGGTTAAGGTTCATGTGCACGAGTGTAAAGGTTGAAAAGTGAAAAATGTTTGAAGAGTTAAAAGTGAAAATGTGAATGCACTTTTAGGTTAAAATACCTTTTTAAGTCTCTTAAAAAAGTTATTAATGTAAAAATATTCATTTTTAGAAAAGTAAAACAAATAGAAATAACACTTTTTTTAAGTAGGTTAGAAAAATAAAAAATGTAAAAATAATAATTTTAGTCAGTTAAAAAATTAACAAATATAAAACTATATTTATTTAAATCCATTATTCAACAACAGACTTCAATAACTAATTTTTATTTACCAAACTACCACGCACCTTTTTTAACTTTGTTTTCTTCTAAACAAACTTAAATTCATAAGCTTAAATAAGTCTATTTTACATTGGATATTGCATTACATCACATTATATATTACGTCTTATACATAAATATTTTATACATTTCATAGATTTTATACATTATTAACTTATATTTTATTAATTATTAATTATTCTAATAATAATAATTTCAACTAATAATTTAAACAGAAACTTCATCACTTAAATTACATAGGATTTTTTTTGGGTAGTGAATGTTTGCTACAAATCAATGATAATTACTTAACTGCAATAATTGTTGAATTACAAGATAATAGAGAATATAAATAATAATTTTAAATTTCCATCAAATCAATAGTAATTTCATTCAAAGGAAAAACTGAAAAAAAAATTATTATTAATGTACCAGTTAGCTACAAATTTATCAATTAACTACAAATTTATCACTTATAACTACAAATTGACCAATTTATCAATCTATCTATACATCATACAAATAAAAAATCCACAAACATAAACTTATTACACGTGTCATCCGGAGAAAAAGTTGAAAAAAAACAAAATAAAGTTACTTGTATCTGGAAATTTAATATTCATCATGGCTTTCTCTTCTTACACTTTCTTACACGTGGTTCATCCTGGAGGAGACACGTGAGCACCGATTGCCTCTTCTTTTTTCACTTGGTGGGAAATTCTTTTTCCATAACCTAAATATAAAATAGTTTTTCCCAAATAATATTATTTTAATAATAATAATGTAAATTTTTCAATCAAGATCAGATTAATATCATCTGGTGGGACATTCCTTTGTTTCCCTTACATCTATAAATATAGCATCTCTATCAAACGAGAAAATGTAAAAACTTACAATTTCGAAAAAAAATAATCTATTTTTCCTACGCATTACACAAGCAATCCTTTATTACTTTACACTACATTAGATTACATAAAATATTACATTACATTAGAAATTACATCATATTACATAAAATGTTAATTGTGTATATAAATATTTTATAGATTTCATAAATTTTATACATAATTAACTTATATTTTATTAATTATACTAATATTAATAATTTCTATTAATAATTTAAACAGAAACTCCATAATTTAAATTACATAGGATTTTTGCAATATGGATAATACGTTTGCTACAAATCAATGATAATTACTCAATTACAATAATAGTTGAATTGCAATAATAATTTTAAATTTCCAACAATCAATAATAATATCATTCAAAAAAAATTGAAAAAAAAATACCAACTAATACAAATTTACTAGTTAGTTACAAATTGATCACTTAACTACAAATTTATCAATTTACCAATCTATCTATAAATTATACAAACCAACAATACACAAACATAAAATTATTACACGTGTCATCTGGAGGAAAAATAAAAAAACAGAATAAAATTACCCAGATATGGAAATTTAATATTCATCGTGGTCTTCCACGTGGGTCATTCTGGAGGAGACATGTGAGCACTGATTGCTCTTTCTTTTCCACCTGGTGGGACGTTTTTTTTTCTTAACCTAATAATAACGTAAATACTTATTTTTCCAAATAATATATTTATTATTAATAACGTAATAATACATACTATACAGTCAACATTTGGAAATGCATATATAATACATTAATGTCGTTAATTATTTTGATTTAAATATATCATTCAATATTTGTTTTCAATAACAATTAAAAAATTGAAATTTAAAGACTGGTTTATTTTATCCGGAAACCTATACATGAAATGCATTATAGCAGAACGAACTTTTTCTCAACTTCTCTTCAGCAACCTTTGTAGTGGCAACAATGATAGCAATAGAAATAGTAACTACAACAAGATAATAAGATACAACAAAAGAGAGTATTTTATTTTTTATTTTTTCTATTAGTGTAGAGTGCATTTAATAAAGATGGGGTGCAGAAGCAAAAGCCTAAATAATAATATACTAGAGTTGCCTACATAGACAAACAAGTAGGTTACTATATAAATCAATTGTACAATATATAAGCTAGTATAACACGCATTTAAATAGACTTCAGTATGGTAATCTAATTTATTCAATCTGTTAAATAATGAATAATTAATACAATTAACATTAATAATTACACATCCATACTTGTGCAAATTATAAATTAATCAAAAACTAATTACTTAAAATCACTACTTCATAATAACTATTATTTATAAAATAAAAGACTGAACTTTACTCCGGTCTATCGAAGTGAAGGCGAAGTGGGTGAACCGAACCGATCCAAATTTTGGAACTAACCATAGAAACGAACAAGAGAAAGAAGAAACGTCAGCAATGGCGATGGCAATGCTTCTGTCTTCTCCAGCTTCAGCTTCACCGCCAACTGCACTCTCTCACCTCAACCGCCAGCAGCAATCTTCAATTTCATGCATTCATCTACCTTCTCTCTCTCGCTCTTCACCGCCATCGCTCTCACACACCTTCAATCCCCTCAGGTATACCCTACCGTCATTCTCATCTCAATCTTTCTCACACTTTTCTTCTTTCTCACTTCGCTTTTCTGATTTAAGGTCCTTCATCGGTCACCATGGAATCACAAGCTTCGCCAAATCCAATACCGGTAACCGAAACGCAGCGTTTCGCATCCTTTGTTATGCTCCCGCTCCTCTCACTACTCCCAATCTCCAATGGATCTCTACCGTTTCGTCAATGTTCGTGCACTTCCTTTACTTCTTCATTCGCCTTACTTATTTATCATTTATTATATTTTCGGAAATTGAATTTCATGAAGTTATGTATATAATATTAGCATTTTTATATAGTATTATGTTAATTCTTGTGATTTTTTTTGTTCCGCTTTCTACCGACTAAAAGAAACGTATTATCGGATAATTCTTTCTTTCTTTCTAATCTTCGATTGATTTTCCAAATGGAATTGTTTGTTCTCGCTGGCGGTAATTTTTCGTGTGTGTATCTTAATCGTGTGATGGAAAGCTGTGATTCGGTTGATGTGCTTTCTTTCTATGCGTAATTATGCTAAATTTATATGTGGCTTATGGGTGTTCGGGACATTCTTTGTAGTGTTTTAATACTGGCAAAAGGCACTGCGGTACCGAAATCGTATATTGTTCCGCTGTTTGCGTTGCAAGCTCCTGCTGGTGTCGTTTCCTGGATCAAGTATGTTGCTCGTTCTCTTGTGTTTTCTTAGATAGTTGATATGGTGGAATGTTCGACATTCTTTTATTTGTTCAACCAAAATTTGTTGCGTATTCTTCTTCTTATCAACGTTTTTTTTTTCAAAATTGGTCTATTTTCGTCACCAATTGCCAATTGGACATACAGAGGTAGATATGGTGTGTGGACGGCATTCTTGGCACTTCTGATTCGTCTATTCTTCTATATTCCTGGTATGTTCTCTTATTCATCTTGCGTGATTACGGAAATGTTGAAAGAGAGACAATTTATGATCCAGGGATACAATCCGTGTTTTGGGTATGATGTGTATCCGATAACGCTATACTTATTTTAAAAAATAATAGGATAAGAGGATATGATACATAACGTATACATATTGAAAAATATATAAAAATTGTTCTAATATAGTATATATATATATATATATATATATATATAATATATATATATATATATATATATATATAAATCACATTTTAGACATTCAAAATAAAATTATAAATTATTGTCATCTTAAAAGTATCACTAAAGTATCATATATTGAGATAGTGAAATGTGACGCAAATTGATGCATCGGTGCGGTGCGGGTGCATCATAGGAGACAGTGGATACTACGTACCTGAAGGGTAAAGAGGAAAGAACACCTTGTATAGCCCTCTTTGAAGTTATTATAAATGTATGCATTGTTTCTAGTAACCTCAGGGTCGGCTTTATATCTTCTCTTTGTATAAATTATGAAACACGAGAAATAAAATCCTGATAGTGGAGTGTAATAAATACTACAAATAAGTTGTGCATTTCGTGTTTCATACTTGTTGAATATTGATTGAAAGAAGGAAAAATTATTTTCTGCGTCTTTTTAATTTCTAGGTGAGCTTGAATTGCCGTTTCTGGCATTACTCTTGGTGATGATAGCTCCTTATGAGGCTATGAAATTAAGGTAAGCAAGTCCATATTTTTTAGGACTTTGGGCTGTTGTGTCTTCCACATTTTGCAAAAAGGTAAAATAAAATTCTTCAACATCTTTCTTTGTCAGGCACACAAAAGAAGGTGCCGTGGTTTCATTGTTGATTGCGGTGTATTTGGCTTTCCAGCACTTCTCAAGAACAAGCTTACAGCAATCATTTGACCAAGGTTCAATTGTTGCCACCTTAGCTGTCATTTCTATCGCTGTTGTATCTTTGTTACTTCTGGTCTGAGTTGGATTTTAAATGATACGCCCTAATATGCTGTAAATAAGAGCAATCCTTGTTAGAATGTTGATATAAAAAATTTATGGATTATGTTTGATACTCCATCTTTTACTGTTCACTTGTTAATTCAAATAATGAAGTTGGAATCAGTATTTGGAATTTGTCATAGAAATTGTTTTTAGAACATGTTTATTGTCATATTTATCAGAACCAAATTAGACTAATCAGTTTAACCTGTTGAAGCATAAAATACTAAAGAACTGTGTTTAAAATGTGTAATAAAATGAATATTGCATTTGAACTGTGGCAAGTTAAGCATTCATTTATATTGAATGAGCACATTTAAGTGTAAACATGTTGAATTTGTTATGTCTTATTTAAAATCAAAGTCGTTTGATAAAAACTGCAACTAACACCATCAAGCCACGTTTGTGTTGTGTGATCACATACCCTGCTCGAATATCACTATTGTGAGGTAGATTTTTCCAAAGGAACCCTCTGAGCGTCGTGGTATCAAATCTCAACAATAACCTGCTTTAGTCCAAACGCGATGATTTCAAGTTCTTTAATGTATTTTATTCTGTTTAGTAAATAAAATGGCATGCTGGCTGATATTAATTACAAGGATTTTCTATGGAAGAGTAGCTAATACTGTAGAAAAACTGTCTACTACCTATAAATCCTTTTGGCTTGATCAACTAACAGCCATACATAGATGAAAGGTAGAGGTAATTTTAATTGCAAGACTTGTGGACTCTGACTCCTTGAAATTTTGCAAAAACTGCTGGAAGACTGATTGAATTCCAACACGTCACGTAAAGAATGACAGTAACTTGTTCATCATCTAGATTTAATTTGCTATTTGAAGGGAAGCCAACAAGCCACATGTGAGCAACAGCGGCAGGGAATAAAAGGCAGATGTGGCAGTGTTGGGGCTTCCTGTTGGTTCTGAACCAAAGACAGTTGTTCCGTCACCACCAGGAACTGTCAAGCCTGGTTGAGTAGGAGGCATTGGAGTTGGTGGACTTGGTGGACTGACAAATATTGGTGGTGGTGGACTAATGCTGCATTTATAAGATAATATATTAGGATGCATTACGATTTCACCTCCATTATGTGGTGATAAAAGAGATATAGGTGCTGCAAACATTCTCACCTTGTTGCCTTGGGTGACCCGAATTTGCAATTCCCATTACCTGTGATGGGTTAGATGTTATTTTCTATATTTATTTGGAGAAGAAAAAATAACAGACATAGAATAAAGTAGAAATTGTATACAGACAAAGTCTAATCCCCTTAAAAAAAACAACGAAATAAATGAAGCCCGCAATTCTTGGAGTCCAAATTAATGCGAAAACAATAAGCTAAGCACACGGATGAAATTCTGAAGACATTCATGATTTATCCCTTGCGGAGAAAGGGGTTCAACACAGTGGCTGGACCTTCAGCAGCAACTGAAAGAAGAGCCATTACTCTAGTTGGTTACTTGGAAGGGTATTCATTACTTCTAATAAATAAAACTAAAGATTTTGTGAAATGAAAGTGTTAGTTCCTGGCCCGGTAAGTTATGCGTACGAAGATACTGTTATTTAGAAAATATTATTATAGGCATGTCAAGATGTTTAGTTTAATTTTTTAAACCTAGAGCTGGAGATGGGGTAACCCAACTAGTGGGTTATAGGTGCTTGTTGAAGTCCTTAAACTGGCTCTCGTGTTCTAGAAAGTTTCCATAAGAATCCGCATTTTATATGAAAAAATAGTGATTTCAGCTATCCAGCTGTACCCGAAGTTCCCAACGGATCTGAGATATTGGTTGTCTGATGGTATTCATTGGATAGATACTTGATATGTACCAGAATCGACATGTTATCCTTGCTGTGCAGACTCGAAAATTTTGTATGCAAATTTTATTTGTCCATTTTAAGAACGTAAAACATTTTAAATATCATAACCACAGGCAAGAAAATGATCGCAAGAGGATAATTGTGCTTTTAAGTTGGAAGCAATTCTTACTTGGATCATTGCTTGTAAGCGATGCCGTCCCTCCGAATACACAACTAGTAGGTACTGGATTCTTCTGGTAGTAGTCGTTGAATGCATAGGAAGCATGATCACGGACAGTGTTGGGGTTATAACAGCTTGCTCCTGGTTGTATTGCTGAGCAGTCTGCACCTCCATATCCACAAGCATAGTCAAGAGCAACCTGTAGAGCAGTGTCCGAAGCTCCTTGGTTAGCGACACACCATTGGCCACCTGATGATGTAGGAGTAGTCGTGGTTGGTGTTGTGGGGGTTGTGGTTGGTGTGGTTGGGTTTGTGTTTGGAGTGGTTGGATTTGTGTTTGGGGTTGTGGGGTTTTGTCCTGACATGTCAGGTGGTTGAGGATTTGTAGGGTTTCCCATATACGGATTTCCTGTGTCTGGATTTGTGGGATTGACGATAGGAACATCATCCAATTGAGTGCCCAATTCCGATGATGAGAATATTTCCTGGTTTTTGTTATTCGTTAATATATTTGCTGTTCCTAAACCTGAAAAAGGAATGGTAATTGATATCAGATAACCATGCTGAAACTGAACTGGTCAATTGATATAAGATAACCCCAATGTTTTCTTTTTTTCTCTATATTTGCCACTGAAGGTGACGGGGTTAGATGAACTGATGTGATTCTTGGACTCACGTTCATTCAATAATTTTGTGATGCACATGAGCTACAGGTATATAGCCTTTTCTAAAGCTACTGTCAATTTGCAAAGTGCGCCTAGTCAAGCTCATACAGTAGGGCCTAATAAGAGTGCATGCATGACTACCATCTCTTAGGTTTGGAAACTGTCATCATTTGTGCCTGAAGATAAACTTCGATCATGTTTTCGATTGGTAAATTCTATCTTCAAAACTAAACGGCTCTTAATAATGAAAAGTTGGTTTTTGCGTGAAGGAGAAAAGCAAAGTAAAATGCCATTCCTTATTAATGTTACCTGAACCATAGAAAAGACACAAGGAGAATAACACGAAGTGGCAGCTTCTAGTACCCATTACTGCAGGTTGGGTTGTGCTTTAGATTGCGGGTGTTTCCTTCTTGTTCTGGGGAAATGTTTACGTGCTAAGACTTATTAAACTAGGCCAGCACCTTGTCTGTTCCTGTGAAGAGGAATTTGATTACATCTTTTTATATTTTAAAAATGAGAAAATGTTGAAGAATCATAGCTTTCTTGGATCAAAGAGAGAAGGAAGAATATAAGCAAACTTGAGAAAGGAGACATGGGATAGTTGAAATAAGCAAGCAAGAGAAGGTGCAAACTGAGGGGGGGAAAGGTGCATGGGTAAGGAAAAAGGTGAAAGGGTGATCAGATGCTTAAGAGGTGCAATATTTATATAACTAATGTGACGGTGACATCTCTGCAACGTCCTTTGTCTTTTATGCGACTCTTTTCTACTGTTTCATGGGACTGAACCCAAAAGTAAAGCCTGAACAAGTGGTTTTGCCTTTCAGGTTTGTAATGAAGAAAGTTGTCTCCCTTCTATTGTTTTTTTCTTCACCGCTCAACACAAAACTCATCTTCTATTATGTTTTCCAAGTACGATTCCTTTCCTAAGAAACTCTAAGCTATTATGCTGCTGCTTCTGCTGCCTTCTCCAACAGGAACTCTGAATACTCTTGTCATGCTTATGTTGCCTATTCTTACCCAATCAAATTCTCTATCGCATAACTTCTATTATTTCACGCAGTTAAATAATAATAAAAAAATACTGTTTAAAACAATGCTGCACGAGTATGTCAAATTCCCAACATATAACAGTATTAACGACTCACATTTGCCATAATCATGAATTAGAGAGAAGTATGGTTGTAACGCTATCAAGTTTAACCAGACACAGTAAAAGAATCGAATGAATTATGCTACAAAGCACACCTTTATTAAATAAGGGCTACCAAAAATGTAACCAACGGTTTTATCAGAAATGGTTTATTAAAAATTTATACGTAGAATTGTGTAAGATTTCGTAAAATGTCTGTCATCTTTAGCATTTTTCTTGTTATCCACGCAATAATAAAAACATTGAAGAGAAGATTTGTGTTAGGAATTTGCAACTAAGTATCAGTACGATCAGCCCCTGATTATTATGAGAAAGAATTATATATGGAAACATTAATTTCCAAAAAATGACAAGGGAAATTTCATAAAGACTACATTATTACTATATCAGCAAAGAATTCATTCAGGGTATGAATTGTGTAAGTAGGAAGTCAATAACAAAATGTCAAATGATGTCCTATATACTGGTTTTGGAATATGTTTTATTTCACGTTTGGTGCTTTTGTTATATATATATATATTTACAGCTGAGTATATTATATTAAATTATTAAGAATCTAATAAAATATAAGTTTCTGCACGAATAACATTATTTAATTTTATAAACATGCATTTTATAAATAATTAAAAAAATTGACAAATATTACATCTACTGATATTGTACTACTAAAGCAATAGTTTTTACAACATCCATGAAGAAGCCTGAATCACAAAAGAAAAACAAGTGAAAAGCACAACAACAAAAATATAATAATATTAATAATAATAAAAAGGAAAATGTAGAGTATTGATTAGGTATGTTAACAGGATAGGGATAGGGATTCTCTGCAACACAGTATTTTATGAATTTAAAAACAAAATAATTAAGATTATATACCATCATATAATGTCATTGTGTTTTATTCACTAAAAAAATATCATTTATGAAATAATGAAGATAAACTCTGAAATAAAAATAATAGGAAAAGTACAACACATATGATATTTTATTTTAACTTTGATCCACCTTTAATATTAAACAAAAACTATACATTCAACCTATTAAAATTTGTCCTTTTAACAAATTTTAAAATAGTTACTCTAAGAATATGATATTTATCAAGTATATAAAATTGGAATTAAATATAGTCGTATAAATTGAAAAAATGAAAAGGAAATTGTTGGGGATCATCTAAATTGAAACACTCTAGTTATCAATAAATAAAGAAAAGGAACAAGTTACTTCATAATAATAAAAAAATAGAGGAGTTGTGTTTTATTAACGTGTCTACTAAATACCATGGTATCTTTTTTATCCTCGATGAATACAAAAATGCTATATACTTAGACTTTAGAAGGAGGATTTTTTTAAAACATATCTTTACAAACGTAGAAGAATTAATATAAAATTATAAACATTTTTTGAGAGTAAAACAGAGATTTTCTATAAAAGAAAAAGTTAAAAAACTTGTTTAAGAATGGGAAGATACTGCAAACGCAGAGGAGAGGAGACACTGAAGTTGTTTTTGCTTAAACCTTGGGAGTGTTGTGTCCACATTTTCACTAAGAACGTGAGATTTATATGCTCAAATCATTATTACTATAATTAAATGACAAATTTATGACTAAAACACTTTCAAATTGTTCTTAATTAAAACACAAATATAAAAAAATCAATTTTAAGTGCTTTATCAATCCAATTATTTAGTTTCTAGTGTTTTATCAGTTATGGGTTATCAATTTCAATTGAATTGAATCATCAATGGAGACAATATGATATCCGTTTTTGTCATGTAGATGTGGCACTTCTGAGATTTGATTTGAAATGGCATGTAAATTCATTTATACCATAAGAGATTCTCCTACAATTTTTTTTTTTCAATTTCACCTTTTTAAGTAATATTTTTAAATTAAAATAATTACTTTATTATTTTTATATTTTAAATAACTAAAAAGTTAAATTTAGTTATTTTTTAAATTAAAATAAATATTTTATCATTACATCTTTTTAACATTTAAATTTATTTTTTAAAATTAAATAAATTATTTATAAACACAGAGACAGACCTTTCAATACAATTTTCAAAGCTGTCTCAATATAAGAAATTAGCAAAATCAAATATGATAACTGAGGATAGTGAAAGAAGAAGCATAAGTAATTCGCAATTTCTATTTTCATCATTGTCAATATGTAATGAGTTTCTTTATCAATGAAATGGCATTTTCCATGCACTAATTGATTCTGATACAATTTAATATCGAGAGTTAAGGCAAAAATAGAAACATGGTATGAAAAGATTTATAGAAATTGATAACAAAGTTTCTCTTTGTTAGTATGTATTAAACCCAAGTCACTTCAATGCTGCACTGGCTGCTTTAATGCAAACTCTTGCATGCTTCCTACGTCATTTCTTCTCATGTCAAATCCACTATACGCTTCATCTTGAACGGAACACTTACAAATGTTCCAAGCCAATCTTGGGTGTTAAGCCAATGTATGTTAAATTAAATGTCCATGTAGCCAAAAAGGCTAGGTAGATCTTTCATGCATATATATATCCATATTAATCTGAAACTCTTGAGATATACATGGCAACTTCCAGAAGCAGATTCTTCAAAAGTTTCAAATTAAATGATAAACCAAAGCAAAAGATTGCATGGAATACCAAAGAAACTGATTTATCCCTGTTGTGGCATACTGCATTTTTTAATATATTGGCTGATATCATCCCATGCTGCAACAATGGAGCTCTGATCACGTTCCATATTACAATTTTTGACTATGCAGGTGAAAGAGAAAAGACAGGAAAAAAATTGTACCTTGAAGTTTCTGGAAGTCAGGCTCTATTCCATTGCCATTTATGTCCTTGTGATGTGGTGTTACATACTTCCCGACAGTGATAACCACACCAGATCCATCGTCAAGCTCAAATACAGATTGGATTAAACCCTGTTTAAAGTATTGCACATTAAATTGTCAAGAAGAGGTTGTGTGAGAGCAAAACCATTGCAAATATGACAAGTCAGTTATAGATATCTATACGATTTTTTTTTTCTATTATCTTCCCTTTAGTAAGAGAAGCAGAACCAAAAAAGAAACCCGTTTATGGAAGCAAATAAAACATTGCACTGTCTTCGTGGTGCTCCTTCAAAAAGATATACACCTTAAAAGAAAGCTAACGTGTTCAATAGAAAATGCATTCAGATGCAAATGGGATTCTCAGAAGCATGCAGATCAAAGTCTACAGGGTTTGAACCATACAGCAGCGATGGAAAAAAAATCATAGATTTATGAACCTTGCCGTATGTCCGTTTTCCAACTAGAACAGCTCTACAATTATCATGAAGTGCAGAAGCAACCTGAAATAAGCACAACACCAATTGTGTCATCACAAGAACAGTGAAAAATAAAACAAATGCATTAAGAAACTGAGCTTCGTACTATTTCACTTGCGCTGGCAGTTTTGTCATTTACTAAAACCTGCAAGGGTTCAAACCAAAAAGAATCATAAGCCTTGCCATCATGTAAAACATTATATTATGGCCATTCAAAAGGAGACTTAATCTGATGTTAGCTTACATGGCCTTGCTCAATATGACGGGAAAACATGTAATTACACACTCAAACATATAAGATCTCAACTTATTTGACACTTTTATCTAGTTAAGTGCAAGGGGTAATGAAAATGTCCACAAAACTAGAGCATAATCTCAAATCTCAGATGCTCTTTAACTTATTTTATTTATAATGAATTTGTGGAACGTTTTAACAATCAAGCCATCTCTGAGCAAGTAAGATGTTTTTGACCAAATGATGTCATTGAAGTATTGGATCCAATTAAAACCCATTTTTTCAATACATCCCTTTCGAACAATTTCCTAAGTATTTTCTTAGGGTCCAAACAAACAAAAATAACGATGGAATAGTAATTAAGGGAATGTTAGTATTAATCACTGACAAAAAGAAATTACAGGAGATGATCCCACTGAGAGCTGAGCTCCTGTTAAATATAGTGAAAATTATTTATGGGATTAATCTCCCTTGCGTTAAACACACATAGGATTATCTATTTATAATTGAAAAAATATGGGCTAAGCCCAAAATACAAATAATAAATAATAACAAACTAACTGAAAGATAAAAGATATAATATTTCTAACACTCCCCCTCAAGCTGGAGCATACAAATTGTATGAACCAAGCTTGAAATAATTTAACTTGGTTTTGAACTAGATGATTTGTCTTCAAGAGTGTGAAATAAACACTTCAACTTCAAAAGTGGATGAAGGAGAGCAGCGGAGAAGGAGGCAATAAACACTTCAACTTCAGAAGTGGATGAAGGAGAGCAGCGGAGAAGGAGGCAATAAACACTTCAACTTCAGAAGTGGATGAAGGAGAGCAGCGGAGAAGGAGGCATTACCCGACTCAACTTCAAAAAGTGGGATGAAGAAGAGCAGCGGAGAAGGAGGCAATAAACACTTCAACTTCAGAAGTGGATGAAGGAGAGCAGCGAAGAAGGAGGCAATAAACACTTCAACTTCAGAAGTGGATGAAGAAGAGCAGCGGAGAAGGAGGCAATAAACGCAGCAGATCTGTGCGGCAGATACAATAAGAAAGGAAGAACAAGGCAAGAACAGCAATACAGAGGCGAAACCCTCTACAACAGAGACGAAGCACAAAAAAACGCAGAAAGAAGAAGGAGGTCCGAAGATGCGGAAGCATGCGGCGAGAAGAAGACAGACGTTTATGGCAGCAATGGCTGCTCTGGAAGGTTTGAACAGAGAGAGGTAGGTTCGGTGAGACGACTGGCAGCGGCGCGGTTTGATACTGACGCCGAGAAGGCGGCGCGTGATGAACACGCGTTCGAGATCTACTTCCGAAGAGTGGAGGTGCGTGACAGTGCATGCAAATGAGACAAAGACGGCGACCGCCAGGGTTAGGTCGCGCTTGAAGAGATGGTCCAGATCCACTGGTCACCAGTTGAAACTGTGACCGTGGCCGGTGAGAAGGCGGCGACTGGTTCAGAGGAGGCAGTGGTTCCCAGGAGACTTGTCTCTTTAATTCTGGGTACTGAGATTTAAGAAGAAGAGAAAATGAATCTTATGAAATTTTTAGGGGCTACCGGCGGCCATGATGGCCGACCGCCGACAGACAGCAAAGACCACCGGAAGAGATTAGAAAACCTGCTCTGATACCATGTTAAATATAGTGAAAATTATTTATGGGATTAATCTCCCTTGTGTTAAACACACATAGGGTTTTCTATTTATAATTGAAAAAATATGGACTAAGCCCAAAATACAAATAATAAATAATAACAAACTAACTGAAAGATAAAAGATATAATATTTCTAACATATCAAAGAGGCTAATGATCTATGTCTACAACAAAATTCTATTATTCTGGTACCCTACTCTCTCATCACAATTCCCGTATCTACCCTAACTCCCCTCTCACATACTTGGTAAAACAGTTATGAACCCCTCTCACATACCCTTGTTTCTCCTAGAACAGTCCACATTGAGCCACTCTCTTATTTCCAAGCACGCACTACCAATCCAACAATATTAGACTTGTCCTCAAGTCTCGGCTGGGGAAATTGACTTTTAATGCTGAATCCCTCTTCCAAGTTGCATCTTCCATGCTTTACCCATTCCATTAGATGAGCAATTGAATAACAGATTCTCCACCTTCTTTGATGCACCTCCTAGCCACACTATTTCAAGATCAAGTGGCAGAACATTGTCCCTATCCAACTCTGAGGGTAGTGTCTCCTCCACACTCGTATATCTTGAGTGGGCCCTTTGTGGTATCTCATGAAATTCCTTTATCATCTTCAAAATCCTTCGTAAGGAAATTGAAGACAACACAAATACACCCTCATACAAAAGAGTACCTCTCTTGATTAGAGAAACCAAGTTTATATAGATTTCCCTTCTTCAAACCATCAATGATAGATACCAACTTATTCTCATTGTACACCACTACTCTCCAGCCCTGATTTGCGCTTGTCAAACCTGTATCCCAAAAGCTTGGCCCAATTCTAATGGATCATAGTCATAAAAGTTTAACCAAACTCACCTTCATGTCAGGGTGGGTTCCCTAAATCTAGAAATATACTTCAACAGACACAAACCAACCTATAGGATTTTTGTCGAACATCAGCAACTTGACCTTCTTCATTCATTGACAGAACTTACCCAACACTAAATCCAAGAGCGTCATTGTTGGCTACCTAGCAGAAACAATGTCACTCAAGGTTCCAATGGCTATAGACAACATCTCAATAAACTTCTTGTAGTTCTCCTTAACACGAATTTACATCGTTTGCAAGGTGTTCTTAATGCCTCAATCTAGTTTCCAGTGCTGCAACCTTAGCTTCCATCTTCTTAGGTGTGGATTCCATTAGCTTCACCGTCATCACAAAGGCTAATGTTTCCCTAATAGAATTTTGATATTCTGGTACCCCTTCTCACTTAACACACATCCCCTAAATACCTTGAATTCCCCCTCTCAAGTTTTTGGCAAAATAATTATGGCTCAATCCCTCGCTCCTCATCCTTGTTTCTCCAAGCAAACACCTTCCATATCTTGGCCCTCTCTCCTATTTCCAAGCCCACCTTAACAATCCTATCAATTTTTCCTTTAGTCTTTGTCTATCATTTATTATAGATATCTCCCATTTGATCCACTTTTTGCACAGGGTCACTTGCTGGGTTTCTCCTTTGACCTCACATAAAACAATTATCTCAGATGAGTTTCTATCATCTCATCACTGGGTTCTGCTCCACTATTCTACTAGATACACACTTGTTCTATTCTTATTCTTAAACTTTCTTGGACGTCACTCGTCCCCCTAGACATCATCACCTTTAGTGATACATTTATTATTTTTTCTTTTCACTTCGCTCAACCCTTGCTATCATAAAGCAAGGCGAGTCTTGTAGCTATTGAACAAAATTTGCCTTTGAATTTAAAATAAACTCTGTATTCTTAATAAAAACACTTGGATTCGAAAGCTTATTTACCAAAATCTACAAAAAAGCATAAACTGAGCACTGTCTCTGAATGTGCCAATTATGAAGCTTCAATACTAAGGTGAAAGATATTTACTCAAATGGTTCAAACAAATCATTGACCCATCATACATAACACATCCATCATTGTTTTCAATAGCAGTAAATTCCGATACCCTCAATGTGTTTGCACTCAAATCATTACCTATCAATATTATATATAGCATATCCACCATATAGCTTCATCATACGTTATGTCCCAGAAAACTAGAGTACTAGACCCGAGTTAGCTCAATCTATTTTCCCACAACAAACCATAACAATATTGGGCAATCTCGGTTTATCTTAATAGTTAAGATACAACATAAATTATTTTTCCTATTGAACAAATCTCAAGGTTTTATCTTCTCCTGTATTTAAAGAGAAAATAATCCACAATAAATAAATGAATTGTAGGTGTTTTACTGTCTTTGTATTTTGGAACATTTGTAATTTCTAAGGTTCATGTTACCAAAGTACATCAAATTGGCAGCTAGAGTCACCATTTATCAGTCAAATTATCAATAATTTCGTCAAATCAGACAAAGAAATGTCCTTGAACTATTCCTGTCCCGATGATAAACCAAAAAAGAAATTGAGAAGTAAAAATAATTTAATTCAAGGTTAATTCAATGACAAAAATTAAGATGTAGAAAATGTTTTTACAACAACAGGAGCTTGAATCAATGGTGAAGTATCTGAAACAATAGCCTTCTGCAACTGAGGATCTCTTCCAACAGTGTAGATCACCTGTCATGAAGGCATTAAAAAAAAATCTTTAAGATGTTCAAAAGAACAGTTGACTAAGTATCACAACGTAGCAGACCTTTTTAAGATCAATGTTTCCTACAGTATAATAAAATTAAGTAACAGCTATAAATACAATTTCTTACTCTGAACTGAGTTCATGCAATAGAAAATAAATTATTGAAAACGAAGCAATTAGAAAAGGATGCCAAAGCAATTGAACTGCCCAAAAAAGGCCTTTTACCATTGTACAATCACACCAAGAATAACCAAGTGCTTTGCTCTGCTAGATGGACTATATTATTATTAACAATAGTAGTAATAATAATAAAAATAATAATTATAATTATAAGAATAACAATAATAAATAAATAAAAGAGAAAATTAAAGCATACACAATTCAATTATGGTTCATGTTTTCTTCAGAATTCAAAATTAGCAAATGTCAAACCTTGGACAAGCTGAAAATAATAACAACTACAATAATAATAATAATAGGCTACATTGGAGTATACATCCTTCAAACTTGACATATGTTTGGATGAGATGTTAGAATTTGAAAATAAATCTATAATCCCTAAATGTGATCTCCTCATTATGCAAGAAAAGGGGTGGGGCATGGGACCCCACTTGTAAACCAATAAATATCTAAGGAAAAATTATCATGAGACTTTCACATGACACCAATACCATCATAGGAAAAAACACAAATCATAAAAAATAAAAAAAAAAGTAAATAAGAAAAGTTAAGCGATAAAAACATGTTTAACCTCATTATATCATTTTTGGGAAAAACAACATTTAAGTGGATACCTGACATAATAAACACCTCATTCATTTGTAACGTCCAAAGTCATTGTTTTGGGTGTCAAATGATAATTCTATTATATATTAGATGTTGTCTCTTAAGGGAGAGTGTTTTTCCTATAAAATGTGAAGAAAGGAGCTTGTTTGCAACTTTTCAAACCCTAAGGTATAATCATCAAGTAAGCATAAGTTCAAGGAGGTAAGCAACAATTTACTCTTAATCAAAACATTGTAACGGCACAAAAACTGACATACCGTGTCTCCTTCATTTAAGAAAAGCTTTGCAATTTCAATTCCAGCCTGAATAAGTTAAAAGTTGCAACTAAATTAGGCAATTTTAAGGCAAATAAAAACTATAATCAACAGAATGCAGGCATCATTATAGTGTCATCTTAAAACAACCAAAGCATATCCACAACATGGGAGAAGAATACAAATTTACTTAAATTTTAAAAAACAAGAGAACAGAAATTCTTGTTAGGGTGTTACGGTGCCACAGTATCTTCCTGCAAAAAGCATGCGTTTTACATACGTAAACAGACAAATATGTACACTACAAGTGAAAAGATACAAATTCATTTTGTTCACATTAACAGACTCAAAAGTAAAGAGCTTCAAAGCTCTAAATCAGTTCTTAAATCTTCTACGGTAAACATACTTAAAAATCTCAAATTCAAAATATATGCAGATATATGTTCAAGCTATATGTGGGGCCCTGCTAAAAAAATGGAGTCAATTTCACAACAGAAATGATTTAATGATTGTCTACTTGATCCATTATTTGTGCTTACTGATTATTAGGTATGCAGTAAAATATTTTAGTATAGACATTAACCAGATTATCATGTTATGTGAAACTTTTGAAAGTTATAATGATGGAATATGACCAAGCCATATACCTCATTATAATGATGGAATCACTCGCACAATGACAGATTTGCAAATAATTTTTCTGAAAACTGAACACTGATTTCTATGTTTCATTGACTGTTTCATTGACAAAACTATACAGAGGATTACAAGTTGCCAGCACTCAGCCTGTATGACGAGTGTCATGCATGTAGGAAAGGTAAAAAGGGATATATGGAAAAACAACCTGTACTAGCCCACCAAGATTGTCTCTAAGATCCAATATGAAATATGAAGCACCCATGTCTTGAAGTCGCTTCATTGCTGCAAAATACATTATTTGGTCTGGTGTCATGTTTAAGAAACTGGAAATAACTAATGAAAGTCCAGAGGTAATTGTACCATCCTCATTATTAGAGAGATGTAAAAACATTCAGTTATTTTCTGTTTTCCTTCCTTTTTCTGTTTTGAGTCAGTTTTATGATTACCTTTCTCTCCCATATTCTTTTCTAATACCCGTGAATATAAGGATGAAGAAAAGTGGCAGCTTTCACTGTTTAACTTTCTTTTTATAATATATGGTGTTCATTCTTGCATGAACTACATAGCCCAGATAACAAATTTTTAAGCTACCAACAAAATAACGCAAATAAAACCCCCTCCAAGATCAATGTCAAGTTAGTTAGGCAAAAGTTGCTATTTAGTAACAGAGGACTGCTAATCATTTCTCCACTGCTTTTAAAATCAAAATACATAAACGTAAGAAAAAAATGTTCTTATTGAAAAAGTACCATTATTTTAGTTTGAAAAAGAAATAGACATGAAGATAGCAATAACTGACCAATGACTAAATCTTTTCTGGCCAATGCATTGAACTCTTTGAGGCGTATGTACCCAACAGGAGTACCACCACTATCCAATTGTTCCAGCCGATAAAAGACTGGTGTACGAGCAACAAGTTGCCGTTGAACTTCTATTGATTCAACAGGTCCACAGTAACCATGCTTGACCTGATAGTAGTAATCCAAATATTAAACTAGAACATCAAAACATTCTTAACAACAAAAAATGAAGGCTAGAGCAGGTACCAAACTAACTTGGAATTAGAATCCAAAACCTGAATAGCCACAGATGTTCCACTAGGGCCTTGCAACAGGGATGATACTTCAAATGCTGATTTTCCCTTTACCTCCATGTTATTGACAGCCAATATTTCATCACCCTAGCAAAGAAGGAAAAAGATAAAGGAAGCTGTAGGAATTTGTGTATGGACTAAACAACAAAATTCATTTTGTATAAGCTCTACAAATAATTCTGGGATATTTTATTCCTGTATACATGATATGATATGTCTATAAATCATATTCTAATAAACCTTAATCTAATTAGATATTCCTATAATTATAAAGATCCTAATTAAATAAGGAAATAAATCAGAGGAGATGTAGCAAATGTCAAAAGATGTTAACTTATATGTCTAACATAAACATATTATATTATCCAAAATAGTTCTTTGTGCCTACCCCATTTGCAACAGGAGATAAGCTGAAAGGCAGAGTATATGCTTATAAATGGTAAAGGTGGGGAAGGGAAATTTTTTTGAATGGTCAAAAGAACCCAAAAAAGTTGTTCACCTATTTCTATCTAGCAGTATACAGACTACAAATACTCTTGCAAATAAAAAAAATATATATTAAACTCCGTTTGTAGAAGTAATGAATATGATAGATTGCTTATGTAGCAATTATAAATGCATAGAATGCTTAACTTAACATATTTATTTCATTGACAAAAAGCATAAAGCAAAGACAAGCACTGTAGGTGCAGATTTTTGAATGTGCAGATGATGATTTGAAGATCCGCAAATTTTGAAGAATGTTCATCAACTCTGTCTACCTGTCTAACACCAGCAGAATGAGCAGGACCGTCCAATATAATTCCCAGTACTTCCAGTCTGAGGTTACCATTTTCATCGGGAACTTCCTTGAGGTTTATTCCAACACCAGTCATGTCATACCTCGCCATCTTGGAGAACTTTCAACAGTAGAAAAAGTCCGCATGCAATTCAATAAGAAACATGAGAAGCACAGCAGTAGAAATCACCAGTCTACATAATCATACATAATCAAAACAAAGAGCAGTGAATAATAAAATAATACAAAAAACACATCCCTAGTTTCTTATTCTCTCCAACAAAATGCAAGGGAAGCAATATTTTTGATGATTACATGTTTTGGAAGATGAATATGTGGTTTGTGTGGGTATTAGTTTTTCTTTTAAACGAAATATTAGCTTTCATCTTAAAACTAATTGCATTAAGTGAAGTTGTCCAACATGTATAGAAGTTGCACATGTGGCCCTTTCACCTATTGCTCCAAAACCCGTACTAACTAATGATATGACAAAATCGTACATATCATATCAGTGAGAATAATCTTTATCCTATAAGATTAGCTTTTCAGGCTATATTAGGCTCAAACCCAAATTCTATGATAGTATCAATATCCATCCTAGTAGTTGTTGTTGGGCTCATTGTGTCACCTAAGACCAACAATAATCAAAGCAACTCAAAATTAGTATGAGACTCAAATGAGTTCAACTTCAACTCAACATACTTACACAACACATAATAAAGATACAAATAAGAATATGCACCATAATCTTTGAATCAGACTATTTTAACCGAGTCACTCATGAGTTTGAATCGAATCAACTACTTGCTAAAAGAGGTTCATATCGAACTCGAGTTGAGTTTTTCACTTAAATACATTCTTATTAAATCGAGTTTGATTTAGCTCAACTCACTCGTTTCCAGCAAAATACATGCAAATGTTCAGGCGTGCTAATATAAGTATATAAGCAGCAGCACTCCAATAACTGAATCCAATAGCGTCCAACAAAGGACCCATGCAAAATTGAAGAACAGATTACCTCATCAGGGGAGAGAAAGCGCGTATAAGGATCGCCCAAACTGGAGAGCATTCGTTTGATGATTTGGTGCGCTTTCGATCTCGTCTGAATGGAATTGCTCAAAATAGCTTCTCTCTTCAGCTGGAATCGATAAAGAAGCGCTGTATCAGCATCAACAAACCATCACGCAGTAACAGACTCTGCGAGAGTATTATCAGTATGAGTAGTTGAAGTTTGTTACCTGCCACGTATCCTGAGACCACCGGTGGCGACCAGTGTCAAGGAAGGTGTCGTTGACAATCTGCCACGCTTCCTCGACGAGGCCCTGGTTGGTGACAACCTCGGGAGTGGTTTGGAGCGTCTCTTGCGGAGGCTGGCGGTGAGGACACGGTTGGGAAGGGAGTTGGAGTGCGGAGACGGAGGGGAAGGAGAAGAGGAGGCCGAAGGAGAGGGCGGCGCCGAGGAGAGTGTTGCGGAGGGGAAGATGATGTTTGGAGAGAGTTGAAGGGGGTGGCGGCGATGGCGATGGCGGTGGCGAGAGTTTGAGACAGAGATAGCCACTCATCTTCACTCACATTCTCTTAGTGAAATTTGTTCGTGTTGCTCTCTTCTCTTTAATTAGCTCATTACTTGTTTACAAGAATGCATGTAGAGTCACTCGTTACGTGATCCATAGGTGGATCCCACTCTCATCTCCTAACCAAGACCCGAAAACACAGAACCAAAGACCCAAATATGCAATGCAAACCCTCTTCCTAATTTTCTGGATTATTTCATATACGTGTTAGTCTCTCTTGTTTTATTTAATTTTAGGTTTAAACCCTTTAGTTGTCCTTATTTATATCGAGTTTTTCTATTTTGATCTTCTTCTTATTATAATCACCAATTGAGTCCTTAAAAGTGTTAATTTGAATCAATTAAACTTCTGTCATTAAATTTACTTAACAGGATTAAGTTTGTACACACGTGAAAGGTTGATGTGTCTATTTTCTAAGACGTGGCATGGTGAGAGTTGAAACGTGACATGGTGAGACCTGAAATTTGGTAAAATATAATAATTTAATATTTATGTGGGTAAATCAAGAAAAATTATCTTCCCCAACAGAATTGTTCTTCTTCAAGACATTCAAATCAAAATCCAACAACCCCATTTAACATTCAAATCAAAACCCACAAAACTATTCTTCTTCAAGACATTCTCAATAATAACATTTAACTTTTTTCTTCTAATCTATATTTTAATCCACTCACATTGGTTCCAAATCTCCTACCATACCTATTATCCTTCTTTGTTTTAATTTTCTTTAACTAATGCTAATTTAAAAAAAAGATACCCTCTTTAAAGTGAATCGATTGAAAAATTGGAACCAAAGGTAAACGAAAAATGATACCTTGAAGTTGAAGGGCATTAAGGTAGAAGGTAAAGATGTCAGTTTCAGTGTTGTAGAGTGACTGAGAAATAATAAGAATGGATATTGATTTTGTTGTTGGATTGTTGATGATGAGAACCACCATAAGAATATTCATTGAGGCGCGTCGGGTTCCTACACGAGACTGATTTCAACTCGGATCTCGTTATAGGCGTATTCGATACCGGAATCAAATTAAAATCCTAGCTAATTAATTTCAAAGACTTTCGTTTATATGTGGATGGAAACTCAATTTCAGGAGATGAGGGGTTTGGATCCTTCCAAACAGCATTCTGCTTCCATACTTCAATTTCAACAACTGCAGAATTTCCCAAACAGGACAGCTGCTTTTGTGCAGGCCTAGATGTTGCAGCAGCCACAACATCATCAGATTTTTGGAAATAATCAAGAGAATCAACATTCACCACAATCTCAACTACAAACTCAGGCTCATCTTCAACAAGCTATCTCTTCCTTGTGCCAACAACAAAATTTTTCTGATTCGAATGGGAACTCTGGGCCTACTATTGTTTCTCCCCTGCACAGTATCTTGGGTTCATTCTCGCCGCGATCGACGCTGCTATGGCCGACGACATCGACGTGGTGTCGCTTAGGGTCAGAGGAGTGGTGGTGGCGTACCACCTCGACGAGATTGCGATGGCGCCTTCGGTGCCACCTTGGCTGGCGTTTTTGTTCCTCCGCAGCTGGAAATGGCGATCCCGGTGGCCTCACAGTGACGAATGTGGCGTCATGGGTTACCATCGTAGACCACTAAAGTCCTTCAACATTGAGGCGTGAGATGGTGGATGCGTGAAGAAGGTGGCGGTGCAGCGAAGGCGATACTTGCATTCTCACGATGGCTTCACGGTTGCAGCGTAGCAAGGTGGTGACGGCCGACGAGACTAAAGGCTTTGCAGTGGTTGCGATCGCTAGGGTAATTAGGTTTGTGCTGTTGGAAAAGATGACTCTGACATAGCATGAGTGATGTGGCAAAAACTTGCCACGTCAACGTGTGCACAAACTTAACCCCGTTAAATAAATTTAACGGCAGGTGCTCCATTGATACAAGTTAGCACTTTTAAGGACTCAATTGGGGATTCTAATAAGAATGAGATCAAAATGGAAAAAACCCACATAAATTTGAACAACTAAAGGGTTTAAACCTTTAATTTCATTTCTAAAAAACATTTCACCATACTTTTTCCCCTTAACATATGAAATATGTTAATTTTAGCAAATACCGTTTACTACTGATAAGCATGTGACGGTACATCGGTACCCAACCACCTGACCGATAGATATAAGCAACGTTAAAAAATAATGAGATGATTATCATGATAAATGAGGTTATTTAGGTTACTATTACATTCTTATTAAGACCATTTAAGGCTCTATAAATACAACATATAAGTGAAACATTTAATAATTTTGCACTAACTGTATTTAATATATTCTATTAAGATCAATCATTTACTTAATTGTTGGGTAGATGGAGGATATATTATTCGCTAATTATCGAAGGATATATCATTTGGTAATTACTAATGGACAAATTTTTCATTAATTACCTAAGGATATATTCTTCGGTAATTATTGGTGGATAAATCATTCTCTAATTACTAGTGAACAATCTTTCGGTAATTATCGACAATTAATATCCATTGGTAATGATTACCGACACCTGTATTACCAATAGATTATTGGTCGTCGCTAATCCATCGATAAATGCAGATTATTGACAGAATTTGTTAGTTATCGACATAATATGTTTGTTGGTATTACCAGCCATTGTAGTAGTCATAGTTAAAATTTACAAAAAAATTCTAGTAAAGGAGATTATACATTTGAAGAACGAACCTATCTATATAAATGTTTTATTTTCTTCTTTACACTGAAACGACCAAAGAGATATCCCCTCCATAACCTCCCACCAAAGTGATCATCACAAAATAGAAACATACACAGTGACAGACAACACAAAAGCAATGATAAGTTAGATACAAGACAAGTCATATAACATTTATAACATAGCATACATAAATCATTTATATAACATACATTAACCCAAACATCTTAACATGCAATGACCTAGACTGTCTATCCAGATATTGTATGGAATGTCGAGTTACAGATGTTCTTGCACCTGTGTGGTGGAACAACAAGACTACCCCAAGCTACCACACAAGGTTGGTCCTTTAAACGCCCTTTGCCAATTAGAGATAAGCCCCATGTCACAACATGATTTATTACTCTTTAATTAAACATGAATAATCATTAGAATGTCAGGATAAACCTTAGTTTAACTCCGACTATCCATACTAAATACTTGAAAACCATCACCAAGAAGTTCCTTGGAACTCATTTACATAACTTTCCATTCAATAAAAATACATACACACACAACTTTATGTATCATAACAAAACCCACGTTAAAACATTTCACTTGATCAATCACATACTCATCATCTTCATCATATATCATACGTAATCATATACATAATCATAGACATAATTTTATTTCCATTTAAGCATAAATTCTTCACATTTCCATAAATCGTACAACAAACCAATATATCCTTTAAAACCATACACATAGCCAATTGTGCTCGCCCACCTAGAGTCAAAACATTAAACTCCTTAAGTTAAGTGAGTTAGGTCGCCCAACTAGCCAATTATGCTCACCTAACTAGACTTCACAATTCTACAACACTAAAAACTACACAATTAGAACTTTTAGACCACCCATAACCTCTTTTAACAACTTTATCAACTTCCAATACTCCTATAGTTGACTATAAAATGTTTTAAACTTAAATAAAAGTGTATAACCTATCTTAAATATATTAATACATATTAAATTATAATTAACATAATAATAGTAATAGTAATAAATAATAATAATAATAAAAATTATTCAAATAATAATAAACATAATATAGTGAAAAATCTAATTCTCCTCTCAATTTAAAATACTATTCCTTAAATTTGTTATGTTAATTTTTTATTTTTAAAAACTAATCGTCTCTTTTACAAGAAATAAATTTATCTTGTTTAACATTCAAAATTTTATTATGCAGCTTAATTTTAATTAGATACATGAATTGGAATCCAACCCACTAATTGAGTTGAATAGGTTTGAAAATTAACTCCAATTAATTTACATCACCCATTAAAACTTTACATTGTGAATTAGATAAAAAATTCAGCACATCAGAATTACCAAACCATAATGGAAGATCTACAAATGATGAACTAAAGTTAGCAGAAAGATTAAGTTAGATTCTGTTAAAAAGCTTTGGGAATAAAATGTCAAAAAGAATAAATAAAAGGGAAAACTAAAAAAAGTAATGAATCTTGCAACCAATAATTAGGGCGTCTACGAAGCCAACGCACCGTTCACCTCTCCCCTTACCTTCTCCTTCAATTTTATTTTTCAACGGTTCTCTTTATTTATTTTTCCAGTGTTCCTTGTTCTTTCCTTTTCGAATTTTATATTTACGGTTTTCGAAACAAAGGGAAACTTCGCCGCTGCTAAGGTGTGATTATAAAACATTGTAATTTTTATTTTGTACATGGTGTGACTCAAAACTGCTTAAGAAAAAAAGCATCAAGTGAGAATCAGAGTTAGTACTTGCAAAATTTTCGAGTGAAGCTCTCATTTTAAATGGCAATGGAAGTAGATTACGAGGTATTTGTTGGAAGGATTTTGTTTAATCTATTAATTTTGAAGAGAATCATCTTCATATTTTTGACCATAAGTATTTGCTATAGATTATTATTATTACATGCAAAAGGTTACAAAGAATCATTATCATGGGTATTTTCAACCGTTGGGACGAATGGATTAATGAAACATACAGAAGAGAAGAAGAGAATGTAATGAAACAGTTGGCCCTAGACAAAAAGCAAAATATCATAGTCCATTTTAATGCGTGAATCATTCCATAATGTTTTCTTTTGTTGGTCCCTGTAGCTTGTAAAACTTCCTCGTTCACCAACTGTGTTGATGAAATTCTGACAAAGTACCTTGAATACAAATCAAAGAAGGATGGCATGTAAGAATTGTTTGATAGTTAAAAATTCCTCCTTTTCTATTCTGGCTTGCAAGTTTTTTTTATTTATTCAGGCTTGTCTCTATTAAATTAAAACTTCCGACGATGAAAATGATTAAGAATGAAAAATAAAATGTATATTTATTTAATTTGTCTTAATTATTTGCTATAGTCGCTGATGAATATTTTGAATAGCTTTAATAATGATATATATATTTTTTTGTTCACGACCACAAAAGGATAATATTGTATAATTTCGTTTTCCACAACAGAAATGTGGCATAATTTAGACTATTACGAAGATATAATATGATATATTTAGTTATTTGTATTTTAAATTTATACATATGTTTAAGTTTTGAAGATATTAAAATTAGTTTTGGAAAATAATATTTATATTTTTTTTACTTTAATAAATATCACTGTAGTTTTTTAATAAAAGATCCAATGGTAGGATATATTAAATAACATTAAAATAAAAATTAAATAGGAGTTAGATTAATTAATTATTAATATATTTAATCCTTTATTTTGAATTGTGCTTGAAATGGCTGAATAGCTATCACATTATCCATCCATCGATTTTGTTTGCACTTTCGTTTGTGCTACATTCACTCACACAGGTAACTCAATCATCTCACTCTTCATCTTCTTCCTCAACCGTTCACGATAAATTCCGTTAACCATCTGATTCTGTAATTGAAGGCAATGTGTGGTGTTCCTCTCTTCAACCTCGCTCCCAATCTCACCGTTTCACGGCTCTGCTTAGGAACCATGACTTTTGGGGAGCAGAACACGCTGGGCGAATCCTTTCGCCTTCTCGACCAAGCCTTCCATGCCGGCATCAATTTCTTCGACTCCGCCGAAATGTATCCCGTGCCTCAGCGTCGTCGTACGTGCGGCAGGAGCGAGGAGTATCTCGGCCGTTGGATTGCTCACCGGAATATCCCCAGGGATAGTGTCGTTATTGCCACTAAGGTTCCGTTCTTCTCTCTCCTTCGCTATGCATGTTGATGTCTCTTTTTTGTTCGCCATCAAAAGCCATCGTAGTTCCTAAAATTGAATGCGCGATTAGATTAGTATTCAAATTGGTGCTGTGTAATTTTCTTTAACTTTCTTTTTCACAATATATTTCACTCCATTACACATTTTGAAAATCGGACCTAGAACGGTGAAATTTGTAATAAAATGTATAATCAAGTCTATATAAAACTCTGAACATCACTAATAATGCCCTAAAACTTACTGTTTTATTCGTGCCGAATTATATAAAAGTTACTCGGTTTTTGAATTTTGGATTAACTTTTATTTATTTAAACATTCAAGGACTTTTCTTTTTTTTTTTGATTGATTGAAGGACTAATGTGGCATTGGCTTGCAATTCCAGAAACTAAACTCGGTGTTTTACAATTTGTTTTGCTGAAGTTGTTATGTGACATATTAATTCATGTTTGTTGTCGCAAGAACAGGTTGCTGGACCATCGGGGCAGATGACTTGGATTAGAGGTGGTCCTAAATGTTTGGACGCCGCTAATATTATTGAAGCTATTGATAGTAGGTTAGTTGATCTCTTAACTCTTTCTCTACAGAGTCATTTTTGTATCGTATATGCAGAGTCAAGGTAATAGTGCTTACAGTCACGATCCTAATGACTGTCTCTTGTTTATAAGTAAATGGTGGATAAATAATACCAATAGACACTCTTTTAGGTCTTTTTGTTCCATAAAGAAAAGTTAAAAATTAACAAAGCTAAAATGAATTGATTTTCTTTCATAGGTTAAAATTAACTCATGCACTTAACTTTTATAGAAGCTTTTTCGTTTAACTTGTTTAGTTTCAGCTGGACTGTCAAATAAGAAAGAAAAAAAATGATCTGGAGATTTAGATTGCTGAGGCTCATAATATACACTCGTGAGAAATATGTGGGTCCGGGTGGAAGGGGGGAGGAGGGGTGCTGTTTCGAAGATATATAAGATAATATTAAGTTTTGCATCTTTTGATTCTCTGTCTAGTAATAAACGCTGATAGCTTATGCAACTGGGTTTGTGCAGTTTGTTGCGGATGCAGATGGATTATATCGACCTTTATCAAATTCATTGGCCTGATCGGTTTGTATGTTTTGTTAGTTTAAGTATATAGGCGTTTGTTTAAATTGTTTTTGAATATTTCATGTTGGTAGGCTTTCTCATTTTCTGCCCAATGAATATATGGATCTTAACTCTTGAAATGTTACACCAATCATTGTAGCTATGTTCCAATGTTTGGAGAAACCGAGTATGACCCAGTCCGACAATATGCTTCAGTTGGTATAGATGAACAACTTGAAGCTCTCAGCACAGCTGTGAAAGCTGGGAAGGCAAGTGGTATTGTTAAATAGTTTCAATTGTCAACTTGTCACTATTGTGATTCCTGAATCGTTGTCCGTGAGTATGAAAATGAACGCAATTGCAGATCAGATACATTGGTCTCAGTAATGAAACACCTTATGGCTTGATGAAGTTTATTCAGGTTGCTGAAAAATATGCTTCACACCTGAAGATAGTATCTCTGCAGGTTTGGTTACTTACGATCGTTCAACTCCTGCTGTATTTTTTTTTTCGTCATGGAAGTCTCATCCTCAATACAACAATTCGTAGGAGCAAAATGTATTCCTGACACTAATTTTCTTCTGTTTAGTGACAGAATTCATATAGCCTTCTTTGTAGAACTTTTGATTCTGCAATGGCTGAATGCTGCCATCAGGAGAGGTATTTAATCTTATCGTTTAATATGAAAACATATAGCCTTCTATGACTTAGTGGTTTAGAGTTTGATATTTGACCATATTCTTTTAGATAAAAGTAAAATTTCATTACAAGGTGGACTAGTACATTGTCCACACTTCAAGCTCAAAGGTTAAGGTATCAGAGGGGGACATGTTTCGTACAAATAATTTGTGTTTCTTCAACCAACAATAATTTATATGATGGTTGGTTCATAACAATTATTAAAATAAAAGTTCTAACATCGTATTTGGGCTTCTTTAAAGAAGCTTGTGAAAAATATATAAAATGTTGTGAGTTAAACATTAACTAGAATTAACTAGAAGATTAACAAGATGGCATAATGAGTTAAACATTAACTAGAAGATTTATGTTATATAAATCAGCTTTAATACAAGCATAGTGTTAAAATTCCATTTCATTCAGATGGATGGGACAATAAAAGCTTAATGCTTGAAATTTTATAACTTTTGCTACATTTGTCAGCCTTAAATCGTTTTCCTGTTTTCAGTGAAAGCCTCATTGTTGAATAATTGATTTTTCTTTTCAGTATTAGCTTGTTAGCCTACAGTCCCCTGGCAATGGGTATACTTTCAGGTAAATATTTCTCCCTGGGCGGTGGTCCAACAGATGCTCGTTTAAATCTTTTTAAAGGTCAGTTGACATCTTTTGGGACACGTTTTGTTTTATCAAGCATTTTCATCTCGTATCCTCCTTCCCAACATGAAGGAAGGAAAGTGAAAAGTGACATGGTATGCATGAGTTTATCCAACTGATACTATTATTATTATTCACAGGGAAGTATTCAGAAGGTGAATCTAGATACAATTTGTCCAATAAAATTATAGAGGCAGCTACCATGGTAAGTGGATTATCCTCAACATTGTTACAATGCTAATACTTTAACTTACCTTTATATTTGAATGTCCCCTTAGGTCTTAAAATTCTTTGAATTTCGTAGTATTTATTTTGTTTACTGATTTTAATTTCAATATTCATATGTTTCCCCTTTTACAGGAATACCTTAATACTGCAAAAACATATGGTCTTCATCCTGTATCTTTGGCTATAGGTTTGATAATCTTTTCCTATATCTTCATGTGCAACTGCAATCACCCCTCCCAATCTTCCCTTACCTTAAATATTGAGTGATATGGGGTGGGTTGTTGAATATCAAATAATGGAAGAGAGAGAATTTTGGTGCCCAACACCTTAAATATTTCTTCTTGTATTTTATACGTGATTGTATTACATAAACATTACAAGTATTTATACTAATTAAACTTTCTAAAAATATTATAACTAAATATACTTTTACCGTAAACAAATATGGTAAAAACATAATAAAGACAAAATAAAATTTTCTCTTTAAATGGAGGTAAATAGTGGAAATAATCATTGCTATTCTTAACACTCCCCCTCAATGATTATTTTGTCTTCAATATAGGCCTTGCTGTCATACCGAGTTGTTTTCTAAACTCTTCAAATTTTGAACTGCTTAGACCTTTGGTAAAAACATCTGCAACTTGACCTTCAGTGTTGATATACTTCATTTTGATTTCACCTTGTAACACTTGTTCTCTAATGAAATGATAGTGCACTTCAACATGCTTGGTTCTGGCATGAAAGATAGGGTTCTCTGCCAAATGAATTGCAGATTGATTATCACAATATGATTTGATTGCATAATCTGTTGGTTGATGTAAATCTTGTAGCAACTGCATCAACCATGCACATTACTGAGTTGCCATAGCTTCTGCTTTATACTCTGCCTTTGTACTAGATAAACAAATTGTTGGTTGTCTTGTGCTACACCAAGACACAATTCCTGATCCTAGTGAAAACATATAACAATATCCTATCACATCACAACTCACAATTTTCTTGAATAATATTCCATTATCCATAGTACCTTTTACATATCTCAAATTAGGCACCCAGCTTCAAAATGCATCTTTTTAGGATTTTGCATGAATCGATTTATCACACCTACTGGATATGATATCTAGCCGACTTAGTGTAAGGTAAATTAAGCTACCTACTAGCTTCCTATGCATGGTGCTATCTTCTAAATCCTTTCCTTCAATTGAACACAATTTAACATTGTTTTCAAATTGAGTTGACATGGTTTACAATCCAACAAACCATATTTCTCTAATAAATCTTGAGCATACTTTTGTTGACACAAAAATATCTTGTCATTAGTTCTCTCAATTTCAAGTTCTAGAAAGTGCTTTAAGTCTCCAAGCTCCTTCATTTGAAAATCTTTTCTAGTGAACTTATTCTACATCATCTCTTGTGACAATGAGATCATCAACATAAACTAGCTCTATAGGTAACTTACCACCTCATTCTCTTGTGAACTAGCTTGAATCTGCTGATGCCACTACATATCCACTTTGTTCTAAAACTTTGGCCATTTTTCATACCATGCCCTTGGAGCTTGCTTTAATCCTTAAAATACTTTTTTCAACTTACACACATAACTTGGGTGAATGTTACTCTCAAACCCTTTGAGTTGTTCCATATATATATATATATATATTTCTCGATCTAACTCATTATGTAAAAATGCATTTTTGACATTCATTTGTCATAACTTCCAAGAATTGCTAGCTGTTAATGCTAACAATGTGCATATCGTAGTTATCTCTGCGGCTGGACTAAATTTCCCATCGGAGTCCAGTTCATACTTGTGTGAAAAACCTTGAGCAACTAAACGAACCTTGTACCTTCCCAACAATCCATTTGGACGAGTATTCACCTTGTATACCCATTTATTAGAGATGGGTTTTACTTCCACAAGCTGTTATTAACTCCCAAGTTTCATTTTGTTTTAGTCCTTTAGCTCCTCCTCCATAACTTGTACCCATTCCTTAGACTAAGCTGCTTCTTCATCTATACTTGGCTCTTTAACACCATTATCTTCAATTAATGCCACAATAGCATATTTTGGATTTGGCTTTCGAATTCTCGTTGACTTTTTGCGCTATGATTTTTTTTATTAGGCTTGGTCTTTCCTCTTCTAAAGACTCGGTGTGCACTCTTGTTTGCCAAGGGATTTTCCATTTATCTAGTGACCTTTCTCCTTCTTGATCAACAACTACTGTCTCTTCTCGTGTTGAGGAATCTTCCTTCGTTTCTAGTTGTTCCTCAGTTGCCCTTGTACCTTTTCTTCAATTTCCTTGGAATCTGGTAACATTATTGCTAGAGAAGACCACCAAGAGGATGCTTCATCAAATATTACATTCTTGGACACATAACATCCTGTTGTTGGGTCACAACATCTCCATCCTTTTTGTTGACTATCATAGCCAGCAAATATACAATGAATTGCCTTCTTATCAAATTTGCTACATTGTTGACTTGGTATAAAAACATAGCAAACACATCCGAATACTCGAAACTAACTCACTGATGGATTTGCACCTCGTACCTTCTCATATGGTGAAATGAAGTCAACCCTAACATGAGGTAGCCGCCTATTAATAACATAAGCAACTGTCTTTATACATTCTGCCCAAAATTTAGGCGGCACATTCTTAGCATGCAACATGCTCCTACAAATTATGCTAAATGTCGATTCTTCCTTTCAACTACTTTGTTTTGCTGCCGAGTATATGGACAATTCATTATCACCTTATTCCACACCTACGCAAATACTCTTTAAATTCCTTTGAAGTGAATTCTCCACCATTATCAGTACACAAACAACAAATGTTACGTCCAAATTCCTTCTCAATCTTTTCCTTATTTAAACTCTTTGAATTTTGTGACATCTTCTGACTTTTCTTTAATAAAATTCATCCACACATATCTTGAGAAATTGTCGCTAAATGTTATCATATATCGAATTTTGGTGATTGAAAGTTGTTTCACAAGTTCAAAAACATCTGAATGCACTAATCCAATGGTGCTTTTTCCCTATATCTTGACTCTTCATAAGGAAGCTCGTGAGCTTTGCCATACTCACATCCTGCACATATAATATTGTCTCTTATCTCTAAATTTGGTAGACCCCTTAACATTATTTTCTCATCGTTGCCTTCATCTTATTATAACTCACATCTCCAAGTCTCGCATGCCTTCGAAGTTGGCGTTCTCGCTTCTTGATATTGTTTGATGCCATGCATTGGCTTCTTCTAAATAAACAAGAATGTAATGGGTTTTCTTTTATCTTATTACTTTAAAAGGATGCCAAAAAATGGTTAATTTAGTAGTATCTTAGCATTGCTGGATGTTGTTATTATTCATGCCCACGAATAATGAAGTTTTATCCACGTTTACATTTAACTAATGCTTTGTCATTTTCTTTTTCAAACCCCCATTGTCTATGCTATTGATTGTGGTCCTTGAGTTTATCTGTTTGAGGTTATGAACTTTTGGGGCATTACTTTATTTGCTTGTTGCGTGTCAGATTTTCTTTTCTATTTTATCCTCTCTTCTTTTGTTTTGAGCAGCCTTTGTTTTGCGACACCCACTTGTTGCTAGTGTTGTTTTTGGGGCTACTAGATCATGGCAACTCCAGGAGGTTCTAGATGCATGCAAAATCGAGTTCACATCTGAAGTAATTGATGAAATTAACAAGATACATTCGAGGTTTCCAAATCCATGCCCATAATGAATGCAATTGATCAATTCCCCATTTTTCAGAATTGGTAATTTTCAACGAGTAATAGTTAGTCTTTTTTGGCTTATAAGGTGAATCTGTCTATTGTCAATGGTGGTTAGGTTTGCAGTTTGTTAGTTAATGCTTCATTATTCCTAAATGATTGTAATTTTAATCTGTAAAATGGGTTAAATTATAAATTTTCAATTAAACGTTAGTTTTTCATTTGTTTCAATTTGTTCTTAAATAAATTAAACTAATGTTTCCCTTCAGAGACTAAAAGTTTTGTATTTATGAGGTAAAAAAATTCAGTAAAATCATTTCATTAAATAACATTTATTGTTCTTAATTTGTGTAAAATAATTAGGTTAATTATTTTGAGATGGATGTACGAAGTTATCACATTATTGTATATAGAAGCTGATATAAACAAGTTTGATACTTGAGTTCTTTAATTAAGAATTTATATTCTATTTTCAGTTTAAACTTGAAATTGCAATTAGAAATGCCAAATTGATTTGGTGAGGGAAGTAAGTTGACTTGGAAATAAAATTTCTATTCCGCCCAAGTCACAAACTCATAATACAATACTCAACTAGTGACCTATAAGTAAATAAGATATGGTTTCAGCAAAGTGGAAAGTGTGTGTACGCAATAAACAAAATAAATAATAGTGTTAATCATTGCTGGTGTTTTCTTGGTGGATCAACACTCCAGGGTCTTTCTCCTGTACCCAAAACAAAATTCTCTTCTGGGTCCCACTTTTACTCCTGTACCTAATATTTCGAAGTTAAAGCTCACTTTCCATTATTATTATTATTATTTCACTGAACATGTTGCCATACCTATCTTCATGTGGTTTATCAACCATGTTTCCTACATTGTTAAATATTTTTAATATTCCAGAATATATCTTACGCTACATGCATTTAAACGCTACTATGTCTCCATGCATTTAAGCTTTAACATAAGAGAAAAATAAAAGTGTTTCCAAGGTACCATGCATTTATTCCCTCACATTATTAATGTATTGGATATGGACGGTCGGTATGTAGTGGTCGAATTGTCCAAGACTGATGGTGTGTAGTGGTCGAATTGTCCTAGACTGATAGTGTGAGGTAGTAAGAAATTGATTGAGGTTGATTGTAATTAATTAATAATTAATATAAGCTAAATAGATTAGTAATCAATTTTAATAAAATTAGATTTTGATTAGACAAACTTTTAATACAAAATTTATAAAAAAACTTATAAATACAGATTAAAAATAATAATTGTTGGGATTTTTAAAATATATTTATTATAACATTAATTATTAAATTGATTAAATAATTAATTGACTTAAATATCAATGTTGGAGTATAAAAAAAACTGAAAAATGAGAAAAATTGGATTTCTCACTATCACTTAAAAAGAAAAAAAACTAACGAACAAACATATTACATCAATTCAAAATTGATAAAATTATAATTATTTAAACTATGAAATTGACAAAAGTTCCAACTCGAAATGCTTGTATACAGGAGAGAAAACAAAAATTTAAATTTTAAAAAAAATACAGAGAGAGAAATTACATAGCTTAGATTTGTTTAGAAAGGTAAATATTTGTAAAAAAATTAAACAGTTTAATTTTATATGTATAACTTTTAAAGTTTGAACATCCTTTTTCACGATTTTAAACTTTTCCTCCACTACTCAAAACCAAATCCCTACTAAATGAACTAAATATTATAAAATACAATAAATTAAAATACAATGGATTAAAAATATAATTCTATTATTTGAATTTAATGAATTATAACATTATAATCCTCTTCCTAACCAATAACATAAACATGAATTTTTTAAATATTTATGTTTTATGTGTATTCATATGTTTTAAATATTTGTATTATATTATAAATTAATAATATATAAATTGATTAAATTAATATATTAAAAAATAACAATAGAAAGTAACTTAATGTTAGTAATACAATCTAGAAATATAATATAATAAAAAAAAGATAAATATGTGACAATTTTAAATAAAATATTTGAAAATAATAATTATTTTTTTAAAAATCTATTAATAATTATATTTTTTGAAAAATATGTTAATAATTATATTATAAAGAGTAAAATAGGAATAAAAATTATGTATACGAAAAGAAATATTTTTTTATATATAATAAAAATGTATAGATATAGAACCACGTTATCATATTCCTCCAATCTTTAATGAATATATAATAAATATACAATAAACAAGTTTCTCCACACTTTTCTAAATATCCATAACACAAACAAACATATTAATAATTATAAAAGTAAAAAATGATAAAAACATTCATAATTGAGAATTAAAAAATGTCACACTAAAAAAAATCAATAAGTATCATTTATAATGAATGGAAAATAAAGGTGCAAAATTTCAAATTATAGTTTTATTTTTAAAGATATATTCATTTTAGTTATTATTTATGCAAAATATTTTCTCATGTTGGTTAAATGTGTGAACTTCTACATTCTTGCTGCATGTTGGTTAAATGTGTGAACTTCTACATGGTGATTAAGCATTTTTCGTTTTGTTTTGCTTCTAATTTTTTAGATGATTAAGCCTAATTTATTTTGTCTAAATATTGAGTTATGGTTTCTATTTCAGTTTTTAAGGAACCTCATACTTAATTAATACGTTACTTGAAAATAATATTAAAATAACTATGTTTTCAATTAAAAATGTATTACTTTTACTTGCTTAAAAATATACACGGAATTTATTTTAAAGAATAGAAATTAAAGTTCAATATTTTATGAAAAACTGTGGTTTTTTTTAGATGGCAGAAATAAAAAACAGTGTAAAATAAAGATGAATATCCCTTTGTATATCAATTATTGATATTAATAATTTTTACTATGGACTCTATACACTGAAATCCGATTGAACGGTGAGATATAATATTCCAAATAAATACTGATTATTTTCCAAAAAAAAAAAGTCTGAAAATATTAATCATCCTTAAAAGCAAAAACAAATCCCTGATTTACTTAACACGAAGTTTTTCAGAAATGGATTAATGGTAATTTGCCGAAAAAGGGGGGAAAAAGGGCAAACTCAGAAGAGTGAAAAGGAGGGTTTAGTTCGGTATTGTTCTCTTTCCGTTTGGGTGCAAATCATAGAGAGAGAGAGAGAGAGACAGCGAGCAGAGATATTTTCATCGCGGCGGAACCCTAGTGAGGAGAGCGGCGAGGGCGGTGGCAGATCGGAGAGCGAGCAAGGAGGATGAGCGGCAAAGGCGGTGGGGGCCACAAGGCAGGGATTCCTCCGGCGAGTCGGAAGATGGTTCAGAGTCTGAAGGAGATAGTGAGCAACATCCCCGAACATGAGATCTACGCCACCCTCAAAGACTGTAACATGGACCCTAACGAAGCCGTTAGTCGACTCCTTTCCCAAGGTATAACACTATACTGCACTAGGGTTTTTCAATTTAATCACTGGTTTCGTTTTTCGCTTTCGTCGAACGTGTCCAATCTTATGTAACTTCGTTGCTCTTTCCGTAGATCCTTTTCACGAGGTCAAGAGCAAGCGAGAGAAGAAAAAGGAGGTGTGTTTGTATCTACGTTCAGTTCGTTTTCGTTTTTTTTTATTGTAGATGTGTGTTATGAGGAGTTAGTTGATACTTCTGTTTATGTATTTGCTTCCGATGCTCACGATGAGAATTTAACTGTATATTATTTTCAGACTAAGGACACGACGGATTCCAGGCCTCGAGGGGTAAGCAATACGTCTAGTCGTGGCAGCGGTGGCGGCGCTAGGGTTAGTGCGGACCGCTATGTTGGGCGTGGAGGTGCTACTCAATTCAGTAGCAGTGGGGGTAAGCGGGATGCTTGTTCTATTTTTTTAATACCGCTTTTAGTCTTATGCTGCTTTGTACGTTACCAAGTTTTCTTTAATATCTGTTGTTGATTTATTGTTGTTGTGGTTGCCATCATCATCACCTTTGTTTGGAGGTCAGATTCTGGTCTTCTGCAGGGAAAACCTGTATTGAAAAAGGATAATGGAACGCCTGGTTATGGAGTTTCTACTTATTCTGCGCCTAGCGCATTGGATAATAATGGAAGCAGGCAACTACCATCCTACAGGTATATTACGATCTGTTTGCGAGTTTGGTCTGGTTATTATGCTTAGAAAAAAAAATTTGGCCATTTGTGTTTAACTTGGATTTTAATTCTATTCATGTACAAGGTGGTGTTTTATGCTTCCTCCTGTTTCTTCTAAAAAACAAGTTGGCTTTTAAAGCATGCAACTTTTTGCAAGCACTGTAAATTCAGTTTTATTCTTTCCTCAAATAGTTGATGCATTCTGTGCCTTATTTCTCTGGATTACTTTATCTCACGGTAACAAAGCAAATTAGTGTCCATTTTTGTCTTCTGAAGATATACAAGACACCAAACTGATTACAATGAACTACTCTATTTATAAAAATCTCCTCTTTATATAACTATATAATTTTTTTACGTTTAAATTTGTCCTCCAATGGTATATGTAACATCAAATTATCTTTCAAATTGATATGTTTGTAATCAAATTGGTTTTTGGAGGATGAATTTGATTGCATTAGATATCATTTAGGGACCAATATGATGTTTTATAGGTTGAGGGGGCCAAAGTTGGTGTTTACCTTATTTGTCTTTTCTTTTATGTTACAAAATTAAATTTTTGCTGTAAGTGATTGGGTACTGATCACATTTTTAGAATGTGAGCTAAGGTGGAGTGTCTCATGAATGTTCAAAACCTTTGCAGTGATTCTGTCCGTGTCTGTGATGGGCTATCTTCATCTCAACACGGTGGATTGCAATCTGCATGGGTGGCGAACCCAGGTCAAGTATCTATGGCTGATATTGTCAGGATGGGTAGGCCACAGGCAAAGACATCCATTCCCAACTCTTCTCTCCACAGTGGTAACCATCAGCATGTTTTTGCACCCCCAGCATCTTCACAGCACAATTTGCATTCATTGCAAGGTCATGCTTCTAAGGTGTCAGAGACAAACAATGATCAAGGCTTTGGTTTTAACTCAAATGTTGAACAGAATGATGAATGGCCATCTATTGAGCACCAATCTGCTGTTTGTGTATCCTCAGTTGTAGATGATCAACCAACATCTGAGTACCATACAAACTCTTCTAATTCTGCTGAAGCTAACCAGCAGCTGAAGACCCATGTAAATGAACTTGTAGCTGAAGAT